GGATACATCTGCTTCCAATTCCTTTGGATATGTATCTAGAAGTTGGATTACAGGATAATATGGTAGTTCTATTTTTAATTTTTTGAGGAACCTTCATACTGTTTTCCATAGTGGCTACACCATTTTACAGTCCCACTAACAGTTCACTAAGGTTCTAATTTTTTACATCCTTGTCAACACTTATTTTCTGTTTTTGTGTTTGTGTGTGTGTGTGTGTGTTTTGTAGTGGCCATGCAAATTGGGATTAGGTGATATCTCATTTTGGTTTTCATTTGTATTTCCCTGGTAATTTGTGATGTTGAACATCTTTTCATATGCTTCTTGGCTATTGGTATATCTTCTTTAGAGAATTGTCTATTCAAGTCCTTTACCCATTTTTAATTGAGTTGTTTGTTACTGAGTTGTAGAAGTTCTTTATATATTCTACATTTTAGCTCCTTATTTGATATATGGTTTGCAAATATTTTCTCTCATTCTGTAAGTTGTCTTATCACTCTGTTGGCTGTCTTCTTTGCTGCAAAGAAGTTGTTAAGTTTGATGTAGTCCCGTTTGTCTATTTTATATTTGTCGCTTGTTCCTTTAGTGTCATATTCCAGAAATCATTGTTAAGACCAACCAATGTCATGAAGCTTTTTCCTATTTTTTTTTTTTAGGAGTTTTATAGTTTCAGATCTAGGGTTAGCAATTTTAATATTTTTTGCAAACACCCTTTGACTTTTTAATTCTCTATAATTTCATTTCTATTTCATTATAGTTTCCTCTTTATTATTTTCTTTCTTCTTATTTTGTGTTCTTTTTGCTTTTCTTTTTTTAGCTTCTTAAGATGGGAGCTGAGTTATTTTTAATTAAGACTTCTTTTTTTTAAAGCACATTCACTTAAACCTATAACTTTCCTTCTCAGAACTGCCTTATTACCTGCTTATTCATTTGCTAGGGCTGCCATTACAAAGTACCACAGAATGGGTGGCTGTAAACAACAGAAATTTTTTCTTCACAATTCTGGAAGATTGAAGTCCAAGATCAAGGTTTCGGCAGGGTTGATATATGGTTTGCAAATATTTTCTCTCATTCTGTAAGTTGTCTTATCACTCTGTTGGCTGTCTTCTGAGGCCTTTCTCCTTGGCTTGTAGCTAGTCATCTCCTCCCTCTGGAACTTTTTATGTCCAAATTTTCTCTTCTTTTTTTTTTTTTTTTTTTGAGATGGAGTCTCGCTCTGTCACCCAGGCTGGAGTGCGGTGGCGCGATCTCGGCTCACTGCAAGCTCCGCCTCCCAGGTTTACGCCATTCTCCTGCCTCAGCCTCCCGAGTAGCTGGGACTACAGGCGCTCGCCACCACGCCCGGCTAATTTTTTTTGTATTTTTTAGTGGAGATGGGGTTTCACCATGTTGGCCAGGATGGTCTTTGTCTCCTGACCTCATGATCCACCCGCCTCGGCCTCCCAAAGTGCTGGGATTACAGGTGTGAGCCACCGTGACCGGCCAGAGTTTTTTCTTATAATGACACCAGTTATATTTGATTAGGGCCCTTTCTAATGACCTCATTTTTACTTAGTTATCTCTTTAAAGACCTTACCTCCAAAGACAGTGACATTCTAAGGTACTGGGGGTTAGGATGTCAGTATATGAATATGGGAGACAAGGAATAATTCAGCCTGGAACAGCTCCAAGTCACAAATTTGGTAAGTTGTGATATGTATTAATAGGTTTATTAGAATCACTGAGTTCAGAATATTTTCTCGTATCCCTTGGAATTTCTTCTTTGATTCATATCTCCTTTAGATAAGGGCTGCTTAATTTCTAATTATCAAGGTTTTAAAAAATATCTTATTGTTATTGATTTCTGCTTTAGTTCCATCTTGGGCAAATAATATACAGATGTTCTTTGACTTACGATTGGATTATGTCCCAATAGACCCATTGTGAATTGAAAATATTGTTTAAGTTGACAATGCATTTAATACACCTAACTAACCTGCTGCACATCAGAGCGAATCTAGTCTATCTTAAATTTGCTCGGCATACTTACATTAGCCTACAATTGGGCAGTCATGTGCCCACGGTGGTTGGGGCACAGCTTGGTTTTGTATATTTCAGGGAGGCATGAGACATCAATCAAATACACTTAAGAAATACATTGGTTTGGTTCAGAAAGGACAAAATCATCTGGCAACACGGTCCACTATAGAGTATGGGTTATTTACCTTCATGATTGTGTGGCTGCTTTGGAGCTGTAGCTTGCTGCTGCTGCCCAGCATTGCAGGCCCTGAAAATGATTAAAATTCCAAATTTGAAGTAGAGTTTTGAGTGCACATGATGCTTTATGCCTTGTAATCCCAGTGCTTTGGCAGGCTGAGACAGGAGGATCGCTTGAGGCCAGAAGTTCTAGACCAGCCTGGACAAACAGTGAGACCTCATCTCTATGAAAAAAAAAAAAAAGCCAGGCATGGTGGCACACATCTGTAGCCACAGCTACTCTGGATGCTGAGGCAAGAGGATTGCTTGGCCCAGGAAGTTGGGGCTGCAGTGAGCTATGATTGTGCCACTGCATCCAGCCTTGGTGACAAAGTGAGACTACCTCTCAAAAAGTAAATGAAAAAGAAGTATGGTTTCTACAGAATGTGTATTGCTTTCACACCATTAAGACATCAAAAAATTGTGAGTAGAACCATTGTAAGTTGGGGACTGTACTCTTTCAATTTTAGTCCTTTGAAATTGGAGATTTGTTTTATATGCCTCAGTATTTCATCTACTTTGGTGAATATTTTGTGTACACCTATAAAGGATATGTATTCTGTACTTGTTGGGTTTGGTGTTCTGTAAATGTCCGTTAGATCAATACTGTCCAGTAGTGTTTTCCAGATTATCCATTTCCTGACTTATTGTCAATTCACTTTTCCATTAACTGAGTGAGGTGTAACAAATTTTCTTAACTACGATTATGCATTGGTCTCTGTCTCTTTTTCCTATTCTGTCATTTTTCTTCCTGTATTTTCTCTCAGTCCATGGCTTGTCTTTTCATTGTCTTATCAGTGATATAAAATAGGAGTCATGAAGGGGGTCATCCTTGCCTTGTTCCTGATCTTAGTGGGAAAGCATCTAGTTCCTCAATGTGATGTCAGCTGTAGGCTCTGCACTCTCTCTTTTTTTTTTGAGACAATCTCACTCTGTCCCCTAGGCTGGAGTGCAGTGGTGCGATCTCGGCGCACTGCAACCTCTACCTCCCGGGTTCAAGTGATTCTCCTGCCTCAGCCTCCCAAGTAGCTGGCTGCCCGCTACCATGCCCGGCTAATTTTTGTATTTTTAGTAGAGATGGGGTTTCACCATGTTGGCCAGGCTGGCCTCGAACTCCTGACCTCAAGTGATCCTCCCGCCTCAGCCTCTCAAAGTGCTGGGACAGCAGGCGTGAGCCACTACACCTGGCCTGCACTTCCTTTTTATTTAAGCATAGCCACAATTATTTGCAGAGGACATTGGTTAGACCATTTTTAACCTAACTTATAAACAGTATAAATTGTATTGAACTTAATTTTTTTATGTTATTTATGATAACATTTTTAAAATGTTATCTAATATCTAATCATGTGCAGGTTTCCTCATTTGCCTCAAAAAATGTCTAAACAAGGTTCACACATTACAGTTGATTGGGGTCTCTCTTTTTTTTTTTCTTTGAGACAGAGTCTTGCTCTGTCGCCCAGGCTGGAGTGCTATGGCGCGATCTCGGCTCACTGCAACCTCCACCTCCCGGGTTCAAGCGATTCTTCTGCCTTAACCTCTGGAGTAGCTGGGATTATGGGCGCCCACCACTATACCCAGCAAATTTTTTGTATTTTTAATGGAGATGGAGTTTCACCATGTTGACCAGGCTAGACTTGAACTCCTGACCTCGTGATTCGCCCGCCTCGGCCTCCCAAAGTGCTGGAATTACAGGTGTGAGCCACTGTTCCCGGCCAATTTTTGTATTTTTAGTAGAAACGGGATTTCACCATCTTGGTCAGGCTTGTCTTGAACTTCTGACCTCGTGATCCATCCTTGGCCTCCCAAAGTGCTGGGATTATAGGCGTGAGCCATTGTGCCTGGCCAATTGGTGTCTCCTTAATTCTCTTTTTATTCTGTAAGATCTATAAGAGCTCTTTCTATTGTATTTTTTCTACTGTATTTTTAATACTATTCATTTGTTGAAAGTGTTGCGTATTTTAAAAATTGCAAACATGTCAGTTCACACAACAGAACGTTTGTATCATTTCTTAATGACCGTTCCCTCCATATCCAGAATATCATGATCATACTGTTGACAAAAAGAGTCAAACTCTGTAAAATATTTTTAGAGATTTATTCTGAGCCAAATATGAGTGGCCATGTCCCGTGACACAGCCCTCAGGCGATCCTGAGAACACCCAAGGTGGTTGGGGTACAACTTGGTTTTATATATTTTAGGGAGTCATGAAACATCAATCAAATCTATTTAAGAAATACATTGGTTTGGTTCAGAAAGGCAGGACAACTCAAAGTAGGGGGGAGCAGATTCCAGGCTATAGGTAAATTTAAACATTTTCTGGTTGACAGTTGACAATTGGTTGAGTTTATCTGAAGACCTGAGATCAATAGAAAGGAAATGTTCAGGTTAAGATAAAGGATTGTGGAGACCAAGTTTTATTGTGCAGAGGAAGCTCTCAGATAGCAGACTTCAGAGAAAGCAGGTTGTAAAATATTTATCAGACTTAAAAGGGTGCCTGGCTCTTAGTTGATTATCTTTTGTATCTGGGAAGGAAGGAAGGAAAACAAAGGGGAAAGGGGATTCTCTATAGAATGTGGATTTTTCCCACAAGAGACTTTGTAGGGCAATTTCAAGGTATGGCAAGGAAATGTATTTTGGGGTAAGACATTTTGATTTTCTTCCTTGTTATGCCACAGTCAGATTGGAAAGTAAGTCATGATATACAGGGTTAAATAAAACTCATCAGATGAGAATTTATGGTTTGTAGGGCAGGAATCCCCAGGCCTCTTAGGTAGGAATTTGGGCAAGATAAAAAAAAAAATCAGAGCTTTGTCCTCAAAACCTAACACTATTAACAATAATTCTCATTACATATTGAATTGTCTCTTGCAGTCCGCTTTTCTCATTCATTTGTGCAAGACAGGATCTAGTCAAGACCTATACTTGTCATCTGAAGAATGATTTATCTCTTAAGAAATATTTTCATTCAGAAAAAAATCTACCCCTACTTCTCCCTTCTTAAAAATCTCTTCATGAAATTGACTTGTTATAAAACTAGGTCAATTACTGACTGCCTATTCCTAAATTCCAAGTCACATTTCAAATTTTGGTACCTAATTTTTGATACATGAGTGGAGGGAAGGGTGCAGCCAGGGTCATATAGGATACTCAGGTTATGGCCTCCACCCTGCTTCATGTCTCCCTCAAAACCGGGAACTTCTGCTTTGGACTTCCTGGAACCTGTCCTTTGGCCTCAGGGTAAATGTGGTTGGGATGCTTTTGTTTTCAGTATGTTGAGGCTTTTTATTTTTCAACATGCATGCTCATTTGAGGGCACTCTGAGGCCTTTTTCTTTTAATGGAGTCCACACAAAGTCTCACCCAGCTGCTGGAAGATGGGGGCTCCATTCCCCAACTAGAGTTTGGATGTGAGCCTGTTGCTGGCTCCGCTCTGTGGGCTTTATTTGAAAGACACTGGCTAAGAATGGGCTTCACTAATGCCCTCTGCAACCTGCCTTTGTTGCTTCCCTGTTCCCCTACTCCCTACTGAATTGGGAGGCTGGACAGCGTGTGAAGGGTGTTCTTCCCGAGTACCTCTCTCACTTCTTATCTCTTTCCCCAGATTTGCCTCTGCGGCTTGCCTCTCCTCTAGGAAGAGCACTCCAGAGAGCAGGGAGATGGCGCCAGGACTCCTGACAACCAGGGAGGAGGTAAGTCCTGAAATTTCTTCCTAGCTATCGCAGGAGGGATTCATAATAGTTTCTTGTCCTGAAGGCTGCCTTCTTGGTATTAGGCAAAGCCTATCTTGATCTTATAGGTGTGACTCATCTTTTCTGGAGCTTTCTCTCAGTCTTATTTGCTACATTTATGACTCAGGTATTTACCAAGGAGTTAACTGTGACCATCACATCCTGGGCAGTTAAAATAAAAATACAGGACATCCATGCTTACGTGCCCAGTGACTCCGAAGGCCTACAAAAGTATAGTGGCTCACATCTGTAAACCCAGTACTTTGGGAGGCCGAGGTGGGCAGATCACCTGAGGTCAGGAGTTCGAGAGCAGCCTGGCCAACATGGTAAAACCCCGTCTCTACTAAAAGCACAAAATTAGCTGGGCATGGTGGTGGGCGCCTGTAATCCCAGCTACTAGGGAGGCTGAGGCAGGAGAATCACTTGAACCCAGGAGGCTGAGGTTGCAGTGAGCCGAGATCACGCCACTGCACTCCAGCCTGGGTAATAGAGTAAGACGCCATCTCAAAAAAAAAAAAAAAAGTATAAGAAGGCTCTCAAAAGACAAATTGTCTGATTTGCCCCTGAAGGGTTTTGCAAGCTGAAGAGTTAAGGGAAGAGACTGCTGTGAAAATGGCACAGGACAGTGGAGCATGCCTGTAATCCCAGATACTGAGGAGGTTAAGGCAAGATAATCGCTTGAGCTCGGAAGGCAGAGGTTGCAGTGAGCTGAGATTGCGCCATTGCACTCTAACCTGGGCGACCAAGCAAGACTCCATTTCAAAAAAAAAAAAAACAGAAGGAAAATGGGGCAGGAATCCTATCCCTTCTCAGAGACGAGGTGACTGGCAGGCTATCCCTCACCCTGTGGGAAGCTTTCAACAGCCGGTGGTCTTTGGCCACATTAGTCTTCTGTGTATAGGTGAAGGCTCTAATCTGCTATTTCTGTGTGGTGCATGGATAGATTTAGTTTTGCAGGCCCTACTTTATAAAGTGGGTTTGCTATACTTGAAAATTGGAAGATTGTGCTTAAAGGTCCAGATTGCCTCCTTCTCTGAAAATAGATTATTCCCCACCGGCTAGGCAGCATTTGAACTTGATGTAACTGAATGGAATGAACACTGACAACAGAAATGGCTGTCAGGCAGGACATTTTTGTATTGATTTTATCAATTAACAAAATATTTATTGTCATTTTTGCTAATTCAGTATTGCTTTGTGCTATAAATATGTCAAGTGTAGAATGTTTTTGAGAGATCTGTACGTAATCATATTCCGGGGCTCATGGTGGATATTTGCATGTTTCTGGATACATTAAAAATGGTTTTGATCTTATCAGACTGTCACTGAGAGCTGTGAGTCCCTTATTTGTTACACTTTTGAGAGAAATCTGTAACACCTTTGAGAGAAAATATGTATGTAGCAGAGGCAGTTCAGGATTTTTTTCCAAGGTAATAGGAGACTTTTTTCTTCTGTATGTTGCACTTTACTGTATATATTAACAGAGAAACATTCTTGCCAAACATGGAATACTGGCTTATGTTTTCTGTCCTTACTCTTTCACTTCCTGTGGAATCTTTAGCAGGCCCTAAACCTTATCTGTCTGTGACCAACTTCTCTCAATATACATTTTTGTTTGTTTGTTTTAGCCATTTCTTTGTGTTAGAAACAAAATGCTTGTTCCTCAGTGCTGCAAAGAAATAGCACTCAAATATAAATTTGATTTTCTCAGCAAGGCAATTTTTACTTCTATAGAAGGGTACATCTCGCGAATGGAGTAATGGTGAGAGCACACCTGGACAAGGGAGGGGAAGGGGTTCTTATTCCTGACGCAGGTAGCCCCTACTGCTGTGTTGTTCCCCTGTTGGCTAGGGTTGGACTGCACAGTCTAAGCTATTTCCAATTCACTATTTTAAAGAGAGCAGGGGTACCAGCCAGAGTGGTTGGGTGGGTAGTTTGGCAGGAAGGGCAGTTACTCAGGATGATTCAGGCCAGAGCAGGTGACCAGGGGTGACTCAGGTCAAAGCAGGTGACCAGGGGAACAGATGTAAACTACTGATTATATCTGGTGGGAAAGTTGTTTACTGAAACTAGAGGCAAGGGGGCGAAGAGAACCAGGAAGTTAAACTTTAAAATGGAGAATCAAAGAATAAGAGAGCTGAACATACTGACATACTGATTCTTTGAAGAGAAACTTGGAGTTCACTATATCTAACATTTGTGAAAATTTGATGAAAAGATATAAGCATCTAAGAGGCTTAGCTTTTTAAGACAAAGCTTCCGTACCTAGAATAGTGTCTCTTAGTCAAAAACTACTCATTGCATAAAGGGAAAGAGGTTTGTTTGTTATGATGCATGTTATTTTAAGCATTGAAATTATGTATTTTATGATTTTTAAAATTGCATTTCCTGGTACTTTGTTATGCATCAGATCTGAATTATGTAGAAGAACCTGACCTATATGTAACATGACATTTAGGCATTTTTCCTAAGGGCTTTTGCCTGAGAAGAGAAATTGTAACATGCATTATAGTTGTAACATAGAAAGGGAGCTGGTAAGCACAGTATGTGAGCTAATAAGAAACTAATTAGCACCCTGCGAACCCAGAAAACCCGAGACAGGTCTCAGTTAATTTAGAAAGTTTATTTTGCCAAGGTTGAGGATTGTCAATGAAAAGAGTCAAACTATGTAAAATATTTTTAGAGTTTTCTGAAACAAATATGTGTGACCGTGGCCCATAACACAGCCCTCAGGAGGTCCTGAGAACATGTGCCCAAGGTGGTCGGTGTACAGCTTGGTTTTATGTACTTTAGGGAGACATGAGACATCAATCAAATACACTTAAGAAATACGTTGGTTTGGTTCAGAAAGGTGGGACAACTCAAAGCAGGGGTTTCCAGGCTATAGGTAAATTTAAACATTTTCTGGTTGACAGTTGGTTGAGTTTATCTAAAGACCTGGGATCAATAGAAAGGAAAGTTCAGGTTACGATAAAGGATTGTGGAGACCAAGTTTTGTTGTGCAGAAGAAGCTCTCAGATAGCAGACTTCAGAGAGGAAGCAGGTTGTAAAATGTTTCTTATGGGACCTAAAAGGGTGCCTGGCTCTTAGTTGATTATCTCCTGGATCTGGGAAGGAAGAAAGAAAGGTAAACAGAGGGCCGGGCGCGGTGGCTCAAGCCTGTAATCCCAGCACTTTGGGAGGCCGAGACGGGCGGATCACGAGGTCAGGAGATCGAGAGACGATCCCGGCTAACACGGTGAAACCCCGTCTCTACAAAAAAAAAAAGGGGAAGGGGGATTCTCTATAGGGATGGTGGGATTTTTCCCACAAGAGACTTTGCAGAGCAATTGTAAGGTATGGCAAGGAAATATATTTTGGGGTTAAATATTTTGATTTTCTTCCTTGTCTCATAATGTTATGCCAGAGTCAGATTGGAAAGTAAGCCACGATATATAGAGTTAAATAAAACCCATCTGATGAGAATGTATGGTTTGTAGGGCATGACTCCCTAGACCCCTTAGATAGGAATATGAGCAAGATAAAAAGAATCAGAACTTAGTTCTCAGGATGCTCCCATGACAGCCTCAGGAAGTCCTGACAACATGTGCCCGAGGCGGTTGGGATGCATCTTAGTTTTATACATTTTAGGGAGACATGGGACATCAGTCAATGTATATAAGAAGTATATTGGTTCAGTCTGGAAAGGTGGAACAACTTGAAGCAAGGGCTGGAAGATTTGAGGGGGGGTTCCAGGTTATAGATAGGTGACAGGGATGGTTACATTCTTTTGAGTTTCTGATTAGCCTCTCCAAGCGAGGCAATCAGATATGCATCTATGTCAGTGAGCAGAGAGGTGACTTTGAATAGAATGGGAGGCAGGTTGGCCCTAAGCAGTTCCCAGCTTGACTTTTCCCTTTAGCTTAGTAATTTGGGGGCCCCAAGATTTATTTTCCTTTCATAACCCCTTCATTAAATCTTAAATTTTTTTTAAATGTTTGTTTTGTGCAGGAGACTTTGTTGGTTTAGGAACAATGATACCTACAGCATAGCATCAATTTGTATAAGATATTTGGTTTGTTTAGGGGTTCACTCCTCATTGGAAGTAAAACTTAAAAAAATTTTTTTTGTTGAGATATAATTCACATACCATACAACCCAACCATTTAAAATGTACAATTCAGAAGATTTTATTATATTAACAAAATTGAGTGACCTTCACCATCATGTTTTCATCACTGCCAAAAGAAACCTCATACCCATTAGGAGTTATTCCCCATATGCTCCTCTCCCAGCCCCTCCCACTGATCTGCTTTTTGTCCTGTGGATTTACCTCTTCTAGATATTTTATATACATGAGGTTATACAATTTAACAAAAACGAAACATGTATCATAAAAAATTACAGAGTAAGGGCTGGGCGTGTTGACTCATGCCTGTAATCCCAGCACTTTAGGAGGCTGAGGCAGGTGGATCATGAGGTCAGGAGATCGAGACCATCCTGGCTAACACGGTGAAACTCCATCTCTACAAAAGTTACAAAAATTAGCTGGGTGTGGTGGCATGCACCTGTAGTCCCAGCTACTCAGGAGGCTGAGGCAGGAGAATTGCTTGAATCCGGGAGGTGGAGGTTGCAATGAGCCGAGATCATGCCACTGTACTCCAGCCTGGGCAACAGAACAAGACTCCGTCTCCAAATAAATAAATACATACATACATATGGAGTAGGGAAATCCAGGCCTCTGTCCTTCCCCAAAGCAACTAATGAGCTGGCAGAAACTGTCAGAATCAACTTTTGTAAAATTCTGGAATCTTATCAAAACTGGAGTACTTGGTGAAGAAATAAGCTGCTGCTTAGTGGTGAGGGAGTACTGTAGCATTTCAGACTGCCTGGCTACCGTCCAGTTGCCTCTCTCCCACCTGTCCATGAGGAAGCCCAGGCACAAAGACTTTAAGTCAACTTTCTTAATAAGCACAAAGAAC